ATTAAATAACAAATTCACTAATGCAGGTACAATTTCAGTCAGCTCTATATGGCACAGGGCTTGAGTGAATGCTCTCATGGTCTACATTTCCAGGGAGAAAATTCCAAATGAGAAATGTCCAGGCCATCTCTGAAGGACATCTATCTGGCAGCACCTGGCAGAAGCTTTCCTCTTCTCATACCAGAGTCTAGCATGGAAAACACTGCTAAGATTTCTACATTGACAGCAATAAGATCCAAGACAATCCTCCTAGCAACAAAGGCTGGTAAAAGAAGAAAAAGGCAAAGCCACTACCAAGGGTCTGAGTATTTCCCCCCAGGTGTGGATCCAAATGCAGCAGCAAGTACATGCAGCAGTCAAGTACATGTGACTGAGCAGCAAATCAAACAAGTGTGTTTAAAATTCCAGCATTAAATACAGAACACATTCTGAACTTTGTTTCACTGCCTTGTTTTTGGTACCAAGCTAAACTATCTTGGAATTTATTAGACTTAGATAATAACATAGCCAGACTACATTAAACAACAGGAAGAGACATCCTGGCCACATTTGGAACACTTGGGTCTAACAGCAATATTTTATCATTATCAGCAGGATTACAAAGAAATTGTTACACACAACTAAACTGGAACTTTACTGCAGACTACAGGGAAACAGCAGTGCCTCACAGATCTGCATGTGGACCTCAGAAAAAAGAGACTTTCTCACCAATATGTGTATACTGCTTCAATACTGAAGCACTTGATTGTCAAGTGTCATTTGGCAGCCTTTAGGGAGACAACCTTCCCAGATGTATTTAAGGCTGTGCTCACCCCCAGACACCCTTCAGCTGGGACAGCACACGCTATGGACACCAGGGCCTGCCTGCTCCCAAGTCATCCCTGCTCTCAGGAAAGGACACTCCAGGGTCAAGACCACAGACGCAGAGTAATGAAACCAAACAGCCTCAGAACATCCTGGAAGGAAGCAGCCTGGGCATCATACAGAGCTGTTCTGTGTCTGTCTGCCATTCCCTGCATATAAAACCTGAGCACTAGGGGGATGTGCCACACACTAGTGGGATATACAGCTCAAGCACCAGCAATAATTATCCTATTTAACACACAAGGCACACTGAAGAAGAAAGAAAAACCCAGAAGAGCAGAAAAGAACTGGGGAGAGACAAGGACTCTCACAGTTCTAATGCAGGATTATGCAATAGAGGACAGAGAACACAATTTGGTAGTGCAACATTTTACAGCATTCATACTTTTGTGGCAAAATTTAATACAACCATGTCTCCTATTTGGCAGAAGAAAGGAGAAGAAGAAACACAAGAGAGACTGAAGAAAGTGATCGAAATGGTTTGACCAAACAAGACAGAAAAGGAAATTTTATCTACCCAAAGAGATCAGTGTAGTTCAAAAAGGTCAAAGAAGACACAACAACAGAACTTGAATGACTTGGCAGAGTCCCTTTAAACAACTCCTTCAATCTCCTATTTTAAAATAAAATTTCATGTGAGTGTTACCACAGCTCATGTCCTAACTGCTGTTTCCAATAACAAGATGTTACATCTCTGTAGAAAGCTATTTGCCACAGCACTGTTACTGCAAACAGAATATAAATATACCTAATAAGGTTTAATCTGTGTTGCTGTTCATAACTATTCATCTGAGTTCCGACAGGAAAAAAAAATATATATTCAAGTTCCTGGTTTCAAGCACTAAATTGAATCAGGTGTCCTCTTTTCTTAAGAAAATTAAGTTGCTTTTGTGCAAGAGTGTTTAATGAGAACAGAGCCTGCCGACATTGATAAATGGGAATGACACCAGAGAGAGCATGTAAGCAGGACAATATGTGCATGTTACAGTCTTACAGGCTATTTTTCACTGACTATCCTGAATGACTTCCCTGTTTCTTAAGGGGCCTATTAATCTCAAATTTAGTTATTACACAACGTTTATTTGAACATATATTCTGTGGATGATGACAGTTAATAAAGGAAATCTTTTACAAGCTGTATTTTTACATATTGTTCCAACTGCAGCTCCCAGTCATTCCACTGTATTGATGGAATAACCTAGTTATGATGTAGCTTTAAAAAAGGCACATATATTCAGATTCCTTTCTAAGCATATGGGGACTCTTAAATAACTGTTAAAATGCATATAAAAATCCTGCTCTGGCATGGCAAAAATAAAAGAGGCAGTGTTAACTGTTCAACTAAACCGCCAGAAGCCCAGTTGCCCCCTCCAAGGCAAAACACATGCCTTTTAAACACTACAGCATCATCTCTGGGAAAAAATAGGGTCTAGATTTGACTCTGATGTATGTACACTCCACACTGAATGCAACAGAAGCTGGAGAACACATCTTACACGTGACTCCAGCCCACATGTTGTATATGTGATAGGGCACCACAAATTTTATCACATTTACAACAAAACAAAAAACATACAAAACCCCCAAACCAACAACCATCCAAACACACAAAATATGAAAAACACAAAACCCCCACAAAATAAAATACACTAAACCCCACAAAACTTTGATACCAACTAAATTTTGAGTCCAAAGAAATCTTCCCCAAAAAGTGTGCTGATGTTCATAAGTCTCTTATAAAAATACCAAATTAATTATTTTAGTAGAGTAGAAATGTATGTAACCTTATGGTCTTATTTTAAAAAAAAATCCAGAGAATCACAAATACACATACAAAAACTACATTCACCAACCAAGAAACCTCCAGCATACCAACAAAAAACCCACAGTATGGAGGGGGTTATGTATTTTTCCACTGCCATATCCCCTGTGGTCCAACACATTTTGCTGACTGGGGAAAAGACAGCAAAGATATCACCTCATCCCCAACCTGCCTCTAGAGCTGTACTGACAACACTAAGACAGTGCTTTATTTCAGCCATGTTCAATAACCACCAGTTCTATGGAAACAACACTGAAAAGGCATGAGAAAATGAAAACAGAATAACCAATCTGTTGTTTGTTTGCATTTCAGCAGGGCAACATCATCCAGAGAATGATGCTCTCTAGAACACTAAGCTGAGCCCTCTGTGCCAGGCTGCCAGAGGTTGCCATCATTGAGTTGGTTCTGCTTCAGGCAGGAAAGAGCATTCTGCCACAAGCAGGGCACAGAAACGAGCTGGGGCCTCTGCTGGCAGAAAGTTACTGCCCCTTACCAGCAAAGCTGTTTCTGTTGAAAATCAGTCTTTCATTCCCCAGTTTTTGTAGTTCCTCATAACCATCACCACCTTTTGGTAAATAATATTTACATATACAAAAGCATCTATCGAAAGGAAAGCTTTTTGGACACACTTTTTAAGTTATGTAGTTCTTCCCATTGAAGGATTTCTCTGTTTCACCAGTAATTTCAGCCATACTGAGGCAGATAAAGAAAACTATCCTGCTTACTTCCTTTTTGTTAGAGATGCTAACTTGTCTCTACTGACAGCAACTGGGATGACTCAAGGGAGTTCTGGAGTGTCAGCATGGCATTTCTCACTCAGAGGCAGGAGGGGGTGAAGGAAGACTAAAAACCAGGAGAGTATATGCATTAAAGTGGGCTTTTTTCCAGAGAGTAAAACCAGAATGTAAACAGCTGCTAACAATTCAAATGGCAAACATTAATCATTCAGGTCTCAGGAACGTTTATGTGTCACTCTGCAAATTTCCACCAATACTAATATACAGATGAGTAACAGGAAATCCATGTTCAGCAAAGGTTGGAAAGCAACACCACTGTATCTCATTTTACTTGAGATTACTTGTTTAGCTGAGCTCAATGAAAAGAAAGACTTTTGTCATCAGAAAGATCACACAAATGAAGCAAGGAGGAAAGAACCTCTATCAGGAGCTGGAATGTCCATTTTCACATTGAAACAACCAAGATTTGGTCTCCTCAGGTACGGAAGAGATGAGAGGCTTCATGAACAGTGGACAGTGCCTGACTAGCCCACACCATCAGCTGTACAATGCTGTCACTTTGTTCAAAGTTTCTTTACTTCAACCTAAATAGCAAAGATTTACCCACACCAAATGCTCCTGTGGCTGTGTAGCAAACAAAACTTGTGTGATGTTTGCAAGAAAAGCAGAAAAAAAAGCATCTAGGCCATATTCAGAAACACAAATGTAGGCAACACACAACTTTTCCAAAGCCTTGCCTCTTCCTTCAGGTTGCCAAGGTTAAGGGAGTCTTCCTCTTTTTAGCAGCCATGATCCTCTTCCTTTTGACAATGAGAAGGGTTGCAAGCAGAAGCAGCCACCAATACTCTCACCTCATCCTTGTGTGATAGCCATACCCCAAGCCCAGCAGTACCCTGAAGATCTAATTTAATTTTCCCCTCCTCCTGTCAGCTGCAGCTCAAAACACAAAATCGCTCTCATAAGAGACAGTGCCTTCCACTGTTGGCTCCTATATCACACACACCAAGGCAGTGACCTGAGCACCTACAGTGGACTTTTGAATACCAGCATGAATAAACAGAGGCACTTTTTTTTTTTCCTCCTCTACTTAGAAATTGCAAATGCAAACATTAAGATGACTGCCCAGTGCCAGTGTAAACATTGGCACAAGCAGTGATTTAAAGCTGACAGGCTCGTTACAACACAGGCTTTCTCATACCAAATACACACGTGCATAAACACCAGGCTCCAGCATCCGACAGTCCTCCACAAACTTCATGTGGCTCTGACACAGCAGAAAGCTCTGAGTTCCTGGAAAAGCATCTAGCCAAACTTTTTGTATGCATTTTTCCCCAAATGGAAAGCCCATTTCCATCATTTTCCTAATCAGGGAAAGACAAGGTAACTTCTCCCTTGTACTCACATACTGTGAAGTCTAAGCCTTAGCTTCCATACATTTGGCCTGAATTGTGGTTAGAGAGCAAAAAGTTAAGAATTTAACCAGTCTCTGGCACTTTGGTATCAAAACTACCCACAAGCCTTATGCACATAATGCATTTCTTAGAGACTCCAGGTTTATTACCTTAGCAGTGAAGACACTGGGTCTCACACCAGAGCGAACAGATTGCTGAACAATGATTTAATAAAGGAGACTCAGCTGAACAATGGGAAGCAAGTACTGCCAACTTGTTCCTCTCTTATGGTCAAACACTTCATAACTGTAACTTTCTCTCTAAAAAAAAAAGAGACTGAGGAAGGTATCCTCAAAAGGATACAGAGCAATAACAACCTCCCGAACATACTTTTATTTAAGTTCACATTTTCTGAGATCTTAAGCTGTGATAAAAACACTTAAAGGTCTTGTCCCCTGATCCTCCTGGAGACACATCATCCATAACATGATTAGAGGTCTAGTTAAACAATGCATCCCACAACTCCAAAGAGTATTACTTCCCTGTTGAAGTGAAATGAAAGCACAAGGCCACTTTTTAAAAGGTGCCCTTTGCATTAACTGTAAGGCTGTGCCTGCACCAGTGTTTTTCTATAAATATCCCACTGTCATATTGCTTTCTGGGCAGTTAGTAGCAGAACCAGACATTTTAACTGCTATGCCTTCAAAACCAGCTCAGAATAGCATTGTTATGAAAGTCCCTGTCACTACTACCACTGGCAAGAGCTTCACTATCCGTTGTGTAATGTCAGGAGATGGGAAATATAACACTAGTGCAAGGAAGGCCACAGCATGGGGAGGCTGGCTGAAACAACAGCTTTGTAAAATATAAATTAAGTGTGGCCCTGTGCACAGATCCATGAATCCTGAGCTCTGGAGCTCGTGTCAGAATTTGTCATCTCATCAACAAATGTCTGTACTTCAAAGAAGAACAATTTATTTTTTCTTAACCTAGCCCAGAGGTTAGTTTTTACTATAAGCCAGTATTATATGGTACTGGAAATTCCCTTTTTATGAGCACAGTCAAAGCACACTGTAATATTGTGGCAGAGGCAGAGGGAGGAAGAAAAGAAAAGCTGCATAAAATAAGCAAGAGAACAACATAACAGCCACTGCATGAAAGATAAAAAGGAACAATCTTGAGGCATGCAACTGCATTCTTTGAAATGCTGCTCAGCTACTTTCACCCTCTATATTAGCAATTCATATAAGTACAACATACACATGCACAGAGTGAGAAAGTGCCGAAATGTGCATCTTTATATATTACATATCCCCAAAATATGCCCAAGGAATTCAGCAGTGGGTCAGTAAGAACTGAAGGTCCAAGCTATTTTTCTCTGACAACAAATTAACTACAGCATTGGTATTTACCACCACCCTTCTTCTCAATCGTGCCCAGAACATCTTTAAATTCTACTCAGACAGTTGTGCCCATTTTTCAAGTGGACTGCTACATCCTCTAATCCAAAGGGGGTAGAAGGGGCTTGTCTTCCATGCAGTGCAAGGATTAATACTCAAATGCCAATCAAGTCTAGGTCAGGAACTCTGTTTCACAACTACTTGAGAAGCAGCACAAGTACATCATGAACTACAAAGATGCTGAAACTGTTCTTCAGAATTCTCCTTCATATATGTATATATTAAGTATGTAAATATATATACAAAATACATAGCAACTCATTAGCAACTAAATTAAATATTTTAATTACTTCCTTCAAGTAATTTACTTGACACTCTAATGGGTCATATAGACTCCTATATAAACACTATTTCTCTAAAGAAAAGGTGAAGAGAAAACACTAAAATCTATGGGTTTCATGTACAGAATTCTACTTGTGCTCTCTGGAGAGCAGAGGATCACCAAAAGCTGTGATGGCTCTGAGTTTGTTCTACTGCAAAAAGTTAAAAACTTGCCATTCACACTGAACATGCACTTTGTGGCAGCATTCACTGAATTTTCCATTGACATCCAGAGCTGGCTGAAAACTGGAATATGCAGCATAAGGGATATTGCACTAAGTCTACAGAAGCAATCTAGATCCAGAGTCCTTTTTCACCACACAGTACCTCATAACATAGGATGCATTAGTGGATAACAATGTGCAAGAAGAACATTCACAACTGCCAGGTCAGAAGTGTGAGAGCTGCCAAATTTGCTGCACAGCAGGCGGTAGCCATGCCAGGACAGACACCTTCAGAGCAAGGCAGAGCAGCAGTACATGTGAACACAAAGGTAAGGAGCAGAACTGGATAATACCCAGATGTGTGAAGAGTAGAAAAAGACACCTTATACACTAGGAACAATCAGAAATCACATCTCTGACAAACACCAAGTACCAGCTCCATGAGCAGCACCTCATTTATCAAACAACTTTATATCTGACACACTAGCTGCATTTTGTAAAAATAGCTTTCATCTTCAAAAGTTCAATTTAGAGAACAGCAATTTATTTGACTAGTCGGTGATCAGCACTTTGGGATGTAAAACAGACAAATAAAGATGTTAGAAATCACATCTGACTAGTATTTTGAATCATGTTTTGCCACTGATAGAAGCTTGATAAAAGGCAGAGAAAGACTCATTATATCAGGTCATATCATCATAAGGAAAAAAAACTCC